TCACTAAATGCACCACTAATCAATGTATGCGCCGTAAGAATGGTTTCTTGTGCAATTCAAAATGTCATCAAAATCAATTGTGTATTAATTTTGATATATAATGTATGTAATATAATATTAAATGTAATGAAAAAAAATTGTAAACAAAAATGTATAATTTATGACTGAATGTCTCCAAAACCAATCTTGTACAAAAGATTTTTTTAGAAAATATAAGTAATGATCATAATTATTAATTTACCCACTTTAACTAATAACTATTTTATGCATTTTCTGGATTAAGTATTTATATAATTTTAATGTACACTTTAACTAGAATTTTGTATTAAATTATAAAATAACTGGTTCAATACTTGAGTGGTAACATATTCATGGATATCTTATCAAAAGAACAAGATCTATTTATGTCAAACTAGAATAGAAGATTGCTACATATTTTTTTTTTTTTTGCTAGATAATAAACAATTAATTACATTAACAATACAACTTATATCATTTTTGATTCTTATTAAATTTTAAATTATTTGTACTTTAATGCAAACCAATTAATCAAAGTATGTTCACATACTTGCAATGATGCAATAATGTTTAAGTATAATAAATGTATGACAAATAATAAATGTGGGATCAGTAGGAATAATGCTAACCAAATTGAACTAAGACTCAATATATTACAACATAGCAACAACAAATTATAAAATATGACAAACAATTGAATAGAGTAACGACAACAACACTATAACTCGTTGGGCGTCACAACATCACTAACCTCCCCGGCTTGGTTATCACACTGCCTTGGCTTGGCTTGGTCGACACCAGTGTTATCACCCCACATTCTCCCGCCTTGAACAGCGTCCGCCTCGGAAGCTGTATCTTCTTCGCCTGACTCCTCGACTTGGTCTTGGTCGCTGGAATGCCACAGCTTCATGTATTCTGCACAGGAGTAGCTTCGTTCGGGTCCTTCATGGGAACCGATCCTTAGTACCTTATAACGCTCATTACCTTCACGTCCTATTACTCGATAAGGTCCTAAAAACTTTCTGCGTAGCTTTGAACTTGGTAAGAACTGTGTCCTCTTGATAGCAACTAGATCCCCTAGACGGTAACTGACGGCCTCCTTTCTGGACTTATTGAATGTGCGTTGCTGTTGAACCTGTGCCTTTTGTATCTGCTCCTTGGCAAACTGCCTATTTTCTTCTTGGCCTTCCTCATGACACCTGACATATTCGATCTGTACTGCCTCTTTGATCGACTGGCACTCTGGGTGGTTCATCTCTACTCCGAAAACTAATTTGAACGGAGTCATCCCTATTGAGCGCTGATAAGCGGAAATTTGAGGTTATGTAAATGGCGATATATAACAACCTACAACGCACCACGTTTTCGAGCGCGAAACAACAAAGGCGTACCGTGTACGTCGTATGACAGTTAAAGACACGGGTAAGCGGCGAATTTCGAACACGCACTATTACGCAAAACGAACGACAACTCGCGAACAAGACTGTCAGTATAAGTCTCTACGCACCGGCTACACAATTCGGAATAACAATTTTCGATTACGATCCCGGACAGGCCCCCAAAATGTGGGATCAGTAGGAATAATGCTAACCAAATTGAACTAAGACTCAATGTATTACAACATAGAGACAACAAATTACAAAATATGACAAACAACTGAATAGAGTAACGACAACAACACTACAACTCGTCGGGCGTCACAACATCACTAACCTCCCCACTTGGTTATCACACTGCCTTGGCTTGGCTTGGTTGACACCAGTGTTACCACCCCACATAAATATTAATCAATAATTGATCTTTAGCTCTTTGTTCAAAATACAAATAAAAATGTATGTATCTAAAATGTGAGCATTAAAAGTAACAATTAAATTAAAAATCATTTAGTTTCTTATCGACTTTCATTATTTGATAAAAACACAACAAATAATATTATTAACACATTACATGTGGGCATCATTCAAGTATACTGTACAAGCGTTTTTTATTGATTAATATGTTTATTTCCAGCGAATATGTAACAGTTACTTATCCACTAACATTGTTGCTTTTCAATCTGATTATATTAACATATAAATAATATCCATTTCATAAGACAGAATTTTAATAGAAAAAAAATACAATTATATTACAGGAAGATAAAATGACAAAATATTAAGGAAAACAGACAATAAATAAAAATATGGTGCTGCAATAGTTTTTAATTATACATTTTAAAATAAAAACAATATAGAAAATATTAAATAAACGTCATCACAACATGTTTGACAATAACATAATAATCACATATTTGTAAAACCATTTAAGAATTAAAAGGTAGTGGTTGGTCACCATTTAGCAAGGATTTTTTCTGTCATTTTTGTGACAAATAAATATTAAGAATGTTCACAATCTTAATTTAAAAACTACTTATTGCTACTAAAATGAAAGTAAGTATTGAGTTTATCTGCTGATCTTTGTTTTTGAATAACGTTGAAATTACATCCAAAAGCATTTAACTTAGGAAATGTTGCAATATAGAATACATTGTCATGCTTTCAAGATAGACTAGGCTAGGCTAAGTATATGGTTTTATTTAATAAATTTATTTACTTTGTAATGCTATTTATAAATATAAATGAACTGTATGAACATTATATATTTTATTATACTTTAATATACACTTATATATATGTATATACATAACCTATACTTATACCTAGTTAATTCATCTTGAAAACACTTTCAATGACTACAATAAAATTACTACTCTAATAGTACTCAATACAAAAGCATCATTATAAATCCCACATATGTTGAGCTAATAAATTAGATTAAAATATTCACTTAAGGATTAAAAAAACAACAAAAACATTTAATAATTTAATTATTAATTATTATAGTATACGAATATTAATAAATTAAATTAATTTTATTAGCAAACACACTTATATGATTACAGCACTGATACACTAATCGCGATAATTGACAACCTACTAAAACAATTTACTAAACTATCAAAAGCTAGACTTAACATTAATATTAATTTGATTCTCTTAATTAAAGGTGCTTTAGGTGTAATTATTACAAAATGAAAATTATTTTGGTTTCAAATAAATTAGTGTAATTAGGATTTTTTATAATATACATTTATAAGATTCTTAACACTTAACAACAATGATTTTAGCAAATTTTACCATGGATCACATTATTAAGTCAATTTTATAATATCAAGATTGTGTTTTTTAAACATGCTATTTAAAACAATATTAAAAAACAAAAAACCTGAATGTTTAAGAAAATAATCTCATGAGTCAAAATAATAATAACTATATAAATATTTAAAATAATAATATAAATAATCATTGTTATAATTTATTACAATAATAAAACAGACTTAATCCTATGCAAATAAACTGAATTTTACAAGAAAACTCTCATGTATTTATAGACACCATTATATCTTAATACATTGCACAAAGGATCCATCGCCTGTTTTATATTAATATACAAATTTATAAGTATCTTATATTCACATAGAATAGTAATATAATATGTTTCCACAATGTGACACAGAAAAGCCAATAAATTTTAATTTAGCACACCTTTAAATTAGTTTAATTATCCTTTGATACAATAAATTGTAAAAAGGTAAAAGTGATTTATTAAAATATAAATACAATTAACAAAATATTGGTAAAAATGAATCAAAGAAACAAAAGTATTCACATAAATTACAATAAAACAAAATTAGAAAAAAGAAAGGATAAAATAAAATACCTATATAATTATACCAAAAATGAATTTGGTTTTGGGTAACATCAAGGTAATTTCTGCTATTTTAGCAAACTAAAATTACTCAAAATAGTTATTAATTTAACTAAATACAAATAATACTATTACATTTTTTTAAATTTAATTAAAGTAAATCAATTCTTCTAAATATGTAAGTAGCTACTAAATAGGTGATTATTATAGATATTCAAATATATTAAAACTTGGATATAAAAAATACCCCTATTTAGCTTTTTGTGCCTTTTTCCTTATACCTCTTAATCAATAATAAAATAGAAACCAAAAGATGATTAGATAAGAAGAAAAAATAATTATGTAATAGAAAACTTAAAAATCATAATAATCAAATAAATCCAATAAATAATATAACTTCTAACGATGTAAGGCTATACAAATTAATTTTAAATGAAAATATCTTCTAATTATGGAACACAATATAAATAATACAGGTATCAGTAAGAGATCTCATAATATACTTCAGAAATATTTAGTGTAGTCGTCTCTTAAGTACTAAAATTATTATTATTTTTCTTTATTAAGAATATAATTAAATATAAAATTTGAATAAAACAAAATACGCTAATTTCTATATTTATGTATTAATACAAACCATAATATAAAAAACGAATTGTCGACAATTATATAAAAAAAAAAAAATATTTTGAAAATTCCATTGAAACTTAACAAATTTTTAAATAATTAACCATTTAATGAAAATTCCTTATTCTGATTACACCCAAAGTGTACTTAACGTTAACTAAAATCACCAACCATAAGTTATTTGATTAAATATATCATAAAATCTATTAGATTTATTGGCAAACTATACTCTGTCTCATATAAAAGTAACTTCAAAAGGCGGGCTTTTAAGCCATACGGCGGAAAAGGTGTAGCTAATCTTAGCTTAGTTCAGTGCTTTCAGTAGTCATTTTATTATTTCAACTACATTCTTGCCATATTAAGGAAAAAATTGAAAACTGATTTAATTGAGGGATGAAATTTGTTAGAGCCAGAATAAAATTGGTTGTCGCCTGAACTTGAGGTTATAAGATAAGATAAGGCTTATAAGATATTCTTATATTAGACAGAATATAGCTATAACTATTATTATTAAGATAACTAAGTTACAAATTATTAATAAATATAACAAATAAAAATTTAACTAAAGAAAAACGTTTGTTTTTTAAACAAGTTTTCAGTGAATAGAATTTTAAGAATTTACACTTTCAACCATTGTATTTTTAATAATTTCTCCTAAATTTTCAGTTTCTAAATTAAAACTATCAGACACTAATGTATTTGGAATATTTGGAATACCGAGTGAATCAGTACTTTCCATACTCTGTAAACTATATGGTTGCAATAAATCCGTGAATGTTTCAGGTTTATTGTCTAAAATAGACAATCCTCTAGATCTATCTTGTGATAAAGGCACAAACGCAGATGGAAATGGCTGATACGGTTCATATAAATTGTGCGAATTATTTAGCTGATAATTGTTCTGTGTACTAGTTTCTGGAGTAACGTGATTACCATCATAAACAGGTAAAAACGAATGATAATTATAATCATTTAAATTGTGTTCATAGTGCTGTGGTTGATAATACGGTTGTATGTGTCTGGAATCATGATAGGAAAAATTGGATATAAGTGGTGATGTCATAGCTAGCTTATTACAGTGCTCCTCTTCTTGTGCTTCTCTCTTTTTTATTTCAAGTCTCATTATAGTGTGAATGAAATGTTTTCGAACTCTTGTTGGATTGAATTCTATGCGACCAACAGAATTTCCACAGCCATCTACTGTACATCCACACGGAAAATTCATTCTGTCAACCTAAGACACAAAATATAAAACAAATTACCTAAAAATTAATATAATATGAACTAAAATATAGCATATTAAAATAGCCAATTTATTTCTCCCATGCTTTAATGATCAGTCCAACACCATTTAAAATAATACACTGACCAAACCTAAAATACAGGTAGAAAATGTATGGCTAAATTTTTCAACGCGATCAATTTAGTGATAACAATAATAATACTACTTTTTAGATAAGATATTTTGTTTGGTTCTTACTTGACATGTTATGCCTGCTTGAAAACAAGCACATGTATCTGGGTCACAAAAACCACGACATAAACATCCGCAAAATTCCCTCGATAGTCTTATGCTCTTGCAATCATCCTTTTCTGAAGAATCAATTTTGTCAACACCAGCTGCCTTCAATAGAGCACGTCTTTGTCGTGTAGGTACAGGCTATAAATAAAATAAAAAATAATTTTATAAGTGAATCAAACATTATAAAATTAACTACTTACTTGTAAAAAACTTCCATTGCTATCTGAATCAACATCAGCATCAGATTCAGAGTAAACATCTGCTGCTCCTACATCACTATCACTGTCCTCACTATTTGTACCAGAAACCTCGGATTGACTTAGTTGAATTAAGTTTCGACGTATTCTTCTTTGTTCTGCTATATATTCAGGAAGAGAAAAAACTCTTGATGCGCTGTGAACTCTTGTCATGCCAAGAGTAGAACCACCCTAGTTTAAAATAATTTGCAAGTTAAGTATTTTAAATTGCATAATATTAAACAAATTTAAAACTAAATAAGAATTTAATAGTTTAAAAATATTATATTTATTAAAACATTACAATTTGACTTGATAATTATAACTAAAAATTATTACCTGAGATGGAACGCATGTAAATCCTTGAACTCGAGGAAAATAAAAGACAGTTACATTTGCAAAATTTATATTTTTGCGTTTCTTCACTGTTGTAACATCAGATGTTAGAACACCATAGTTGACTGGTTTGTTGCGTTTTAAAATGCCTTTAACAATTCCATAATTACTTCTAACATCTAATGGTCCTGAATCTAGAATAGAATCAGAAAATTTAGGCTTCAACACTTCCATTGCCGACAAAAATTCATTTGAAGTTCTTTGTAAATCTTCAAAACTAGATTCTTGGTTTGATGTAAAATCAGTTTTGTATGATATATTTGATGACGAGACTGCTACATCTAAGCTGCCAGTGTTTTTATCTTCTGCTAATTCTGATCCAAATCCAGAGTCGCTTCCATCATAACGATCTTGTATACAATCTACTTCTAAGTCATTTTGAATACTAGTAAATCCATTGAATATTTTATCATCTTTTTTATTTGAATACAGGTCAATGCTATCAAGCACTTCATTTGTTTTATCATCAATAGGTAGTTTAGTAATACATAACTTTTTTACAGGAGAGTCAAAATAATAGCTATTACTTCTTTTGAAAGGCGTTAAATTGCTTGTAGCATCTGTTTGCTCGCTTAAAAAGCAAGTATAATCATTTGAATATGTTGACATGCTTTGGCTATTTTGAGAAGTTTCATCTTTACTGATTTCTTCAATTGAAAACCCTCGTTTTTTATTAGTAGTAAAAATATTATTTATATCTGAATAAGTTGATTCATTTGTATTTGAAAGAACTTGATTTTCATTAGAGGAGATATAAGTTGAATTTGATGAGGGTATAAATAAATTCTTCATATCACCATTAAAAGATTTAATATTGCAATCTATGCTGGTTTTGTCATCAGAATTTGCAGTAAATTCTTCAGATTTAATATTGAATAGCATGTTTTCAACTCTACATTCTGAATTTGATAATAATTTTGGAGTGTCTACTAAACAATCAGATAAAGTTTTTGATACAGTACATATTTCTTCATTATTAACTTTATCAATATTTGCAACATTTGTTTGCTTAATATCATCATTATAAGGTTTGTCGTTGGTAGGCTCATCAGTTTGCGGCAATATTGAGATTTCGTCAGATTCATTTGCTATTAAAAATTCCATTGCTATAGTTAAATATCTGCAAAAAAATAAAATATACTGGTATATTAAAAATAGTTTTAAATATTTAAAAAAAAAAAGTTTTTGACAACTTTTTAAAACCATTAATAGTATAATAATATTAATCATTAATTTATATTAAAATAATAATTTCTTAATATAGCTTTTTATTTTTAACTGATCATTTCATTTTTATGAACAAATTTATATATATATGTACCAGAAATTGACAAATCGCTAAAATGTATAACCTATTATTAGATATATTATAATCATAACAAGTAAGTATCTTATCCATAAGGCAATTTAAAAACTAAATTGTTGTTATTAAATGAAGGAGCAGACTGCTACTTTTGTAATTCAAAGAGTTGTTCAATTGAAAGTACTCATTGACGCTGATTTAATAAAAAAATATTGCTGTTATTTAATAAATCAACTACTCAATTTTTTACCAAAAACCACTTGAATAATTAAACCTAAATATTGAATTTAAATTTAAAAAATTCAAATCTAAATTTGTAGAAATCATTAATTAATTTTAGTAAGAAAAGGTAATTCTATTATATCTATTGTCAATTTTATTTTTATACTTTAATTCTATACTTAATATTTATAAAACACAATACGGATTTGTTTATAATTTTTATTTTTTTGAATTAATTTAAAATAATGGCATTCTATCACTTCTATGAATTAATATACAGGGTTATTCAAAATGATTCATCCGATTTAAAATGGCTATAAAATAGTTAATAATATATTTTATCTTATCAAACTATATACCAATTAATAGAGGGTATTCTCAAGTTTTATAATGTCATATCATTATTTTAAAATAATAACTAACGGTGATAAGTTAGTTTCCGTAAATATGTTGACCAGGCAGCACAAAGCATTTTGTGTGTTGCGTTTTTCGAAGTGTGAATCGATGATAACTGTGAAACGCGATTTTCGTCGTCGTTACGGGATCGATGCTCCAACTACTCAGAGCATACGTCGATGGTATAAGCAATTTGAAGAAACAGGGTGTTTGTGCAAAGGAAAAAGCACAGGCCGACCTAGTGTATCCGATGATAACGTGGAACGAATTAGAGAGAGTTTTGTACTAGATGTTATTCGTGTAACCAAAGGAGTTCACATAGAACATTTATAGATACAGTTAATTAAAATTGACATATTTTTCTTTTATTTAATGTATAACATATTGTTCTAAACCTAAAAAATAAAATAATATAAGCACTTTAAATCGGATGAATCATTTTGAATAACCCTGTATAAGCAAGAAAATAAATTTAAAAAAAAAGTATGTAGGTATAGGGTACGGAAACAAAAACTCTCAAATTTCTACAAATAATATTTAAATTACAAAATTAAAAAAATTAATTTTTCCCAACAACAGTTAGCAACAGTGTTTATTTTGTATAGTTTTAATAATTTTTACTTAAACACCAAGCATTGACAAACATATCAATTAGATATTTGAAGAGAATAAGAACAAATCATATAATCAACAATAATGAAATTATTTCAAGATAACTACTAAAATTTTCAATAAAAATGATTTGAAGAATAATTAGTGATTTTTCATACTAAAATATAAAACCTTAAAATAGTTTTAAAATTAACAAATACTTTTAGTGAATATGCTACACACAGTATGAACTGCCAATCCACTGGTAATCACGTTAACAATAATTTTAATTCTGAAGAGAAAACACACTTGTCATCATCATTATCTTGTTATCAAATTATACAACTGTATTCGAGAGTATGACGCTTCACCTTTCAACTCAGACTTAAACTTTGTTGAATATTTAAAAGATATATGTGTAACAGCACCACACGAAAAGCTAATTGAAGACATAATCATATAACTCACTTAGTCACCATCCATACTTAAAGAAAAATCTCAATAGAAGCTATTGAAATATAGAGACATTAAAATATATAAAATAGTTTTGCATTGGTTCATTCTTGTTTTATTAAACAATGTATGCCTACATATGCATATTATACCACTAATGATCTAATGCCATATAGCACAATCGCCACATAGTACCACTTCAATAAGTTGTCAAAACATAACCTCCTCGTTTTAACTAGCAAACATCATCACCGACAGTGGTTTCAGATACAGATAAAGATGTATTAAAACAACTTATATCCTAACATGATAATCTTATACTCAATAAATCCTAAATAATAAGGATGAAAAAAAATAATAAATAAACTGTAAAATAATTATATGAATTAAAATAAAAAAAAAAATTATAAGTACTGCTATAATATTGGTATATTCTAAGTATCTAGGTAAAATACAAAAATTAATATAAATACACATAATCATAAATAATTATACTAATACCTGTAATACCTAAGACTTTTGTAAAAATTAAGAATTACCTATTAATAGAATTTATCTTAAATTAATTTGTTTATATCAATTTCATTTTTCAAAAAATACTTTTGGAATTTTATTACTTTATTAAATTTTGATTTAATCATCAATTAAAGTAGAAAACTACATTAAATTCATAAACTTAACTGTCAAAAAATGAATGTTTTAGTAAAAACTAAAAATTAAATTTTTTCCATGGAAATTATACCTATAATACAAACAATGTTAAACCTGTGTTTAGTCAAACAGTCTGAGGCAGAGAAAAGGGTACTTGTAAAATAACATTTTATTAATACAACTACAATAGTATGCACCTACTTTTAAATCAATATGGCACATTCATACAATTATTGATCCCTTTAAAAAAATGACTGTAGAAATAAACTATATTATGATTAGTGAAGATGTTTAGAAGCATAAAAAAATAATTAAATATATTAATATTTAACATATTTGTTGCTTACTGATTTTGACAAATTTATAAATGGAATTTTGGAAAAATTTTATATTGAGATTATTATAACACTTAAAAAAATTAACAAAAATATTACTATCTAAAGATATTTTATTCTAAGAATTATTAAATTTTTCTTAGTTAGAATAAAATTTAAAAAGTATTACTTGATTCTTATATATTTATTATTATAATTTTGGTGAAGTTGAAAATCTTCAAAAAAACTTTATCAATATTTATAACTCATTGTGTTTTACCTACCTATGTTGCGCTAGAACTAGAAAGAGAAGGAGCAATGTTTCTTAATTTTCTTATATAATGAACATCATAATAGGTGTAAAAGAACTAAATAATAAGTAGAATATAATGTAGACAACTAAGCATTTAAAACTAATAAATAATTTAAAATATCTTAATGAATTAAATATACATATTAAGCTTTATAGTGATTCATATTAATAATTAACATTTGCATAAAAGTATTTTCTTATGCTTTCTTCAACTATATACCTAAATATTAAATTTTTATTTTAATTGCATAAGGTTTTTGCATTTATATAACTAAGTGACATATAAATGTTCATTTTCAGTATTAAAAATTATAAAACCTAGCATCCGAAATTCATTGAATAAAGATAGTATTATATAGACAGATAATTTTATGTTTATGGCTTTCAACAAAAAAATATCCTACGATATAGAATCTGTTAAATGATTAAAAAGTAAATAACTTCAGTGTCGGATGTTTAAACGTAAATCATGACGTTTAATTTTTTAAATGGTCACCCTAACTTATGTATTTAATCATTTAAAAAACAAATAATAAGACAACGTTATCGACTAATCACAGACGAAAAAACAGGGTACGATTTCGGTGACAAATTATTGACAGTCGTAATTTAAATACTTGGCAGAATTAAAACAAAAACAGAAAAAAAAAAAACAGTTACTGTCGCTAAATAAAATATGTGTACCGTCAACGACGAACAAAAAGTAGGAATGTTACCTGGACGATTTTGGCGTAACGGATTCTCCTTTGAGCGCGGCAAGTCAAACGTTTTCCCGGGACATTTTCAAACGGTGGCGGTAGGACGAGTGAGCGGGCTTGCGCGATCGGCAAGCGAATGACGCAAAAACGGCAAGCGACAACCGAAACGTTCAAAGGGCGCTGCTGCGTGTGTTGTTGAGAAAAAAAAAAGACAACGACGACGACGACGACGACGGCGGCCGCCGACGGCGTAACAGAGCACACTGGCGCGCGTTGGACGTCACACTGCGGGCGACGGCCGTACGGTATTTATCGCGACGGAAAAAGCGAATAACATTAATGGTAATAATAAAAAAGATAAAAATGAATAATAATAATCTAATCGTTCGGCAACGATAATAATAATAATAATAATATGTAATTCAAGAGCCGCCGGGGACGACAATGAATAATAATAATAATAAAAAAAAAGAAAAAAAAAAAGTCGTCGACGGACGACGAATGACGACTATCGTGTGTAGTAACAAAATACTGGTTCGTCGTCGTCGTCGCTGCTGCTGCCGCCGCCGCCGCCGCCGCTGTTGTCAGTTCATTTTTTTCTTTCGATTATTTCCCCCTTCGCCGCCGCTTTACTACACACACTCACACCCGTTCACCAACGCACACGTACAACGGGCGCACGCTCACGCACGCACACCACGACGACAACGGCGGCTGATAATCTCGGCGGCGGCGGCGGCGGCGGCGGCAGTACAAATAATAATAATTGTCGCCGGGGCCAACGCACACACGCAAACGCACGCACGTACGTACGTATACGCACACGCACACATAAGGCGCATGCACGGGACGCACTGACGTACACGGCCGCACAGAAACCGTGAATAATAATAATGCTGTACCTCCACCCGCGACCCGAGTGCCATACGGTCTACGTCATCGTAACGGCGGCGACGGTTTCAACGGCATTACGCATTGTAGCGATAATAATATTACGTCTATTTGTACAACGTACGACAGCGAGACCGCGTTGCGGGGGAAGTGAAACAGTGGAGATGTCCGAGGAAAAATTAGAGAAAAAAAAAATTGTAAACAGAAAAAAATGTGTAGATATAGCGACTGAGTAATAAACATTAGGTAAATAATAATATTTGTTTTCACTACTATCGTCCTACTAAT